TTACAGCGAGCAATGAAAATCAGGGTCAGGGGCAATACACACTCACAACCAAATTTAGGATTTTCAGCACTGACATTTGGCTCTGTGTACAAAAAGCCAAATGGCTTGTCCTTGTATCTTTTATTCTGATTACCTTGATTACACATATAAAGACGCTAGATATACAAATAATTCAATTTTACTTCTGACTATAAGAAATAAATAAGAATTTCAGAAGTAACCAATATACAGTTCTGGCATGAACATATTTTACTGACAATTGATTCTATCTGAATATTAAACTCTTGTTTTGTTAACTGCAAAACTAAACACAGATTATGTAGTTAACAAGTGGTCCAATTTTTCCAAATAATCAAGAACTAGCTATGCTTATTTCCACCTAAATTTGGTCTTGAATCTACTAACATTCTTCATAATTTTATTTAATTATGGAGTGACAAAGAACCAAAAAAACCTGCAATAACGTATGATAGTAAACATAATTTACTCCACTTAATGTTAATACAGTGGTCCCACAACACTTCTACTAAATGTGATAAATTAAACTAAAACTGGCAGCCAACAAAGAATTCTGCCTCTTATACACACTGTACTATAATAGTATGAATGGAACAATGACATATCTCACTTCCACAAGCTAATGTAAAATATTGCAGTGTTTAGTTCTTTGGCAATCACAGTCTTTTATCTGAAGCATTTCCTGATTCACCCTCAAAACAAACAAACTAGCAAAATCCATATACAAAATTAATTATGAAAAAAATAAGTACATACCTTGATTATGAATCCAATGGCAATTAGGATATTCCCTTCATAATGAGATAATTCCTATTTAAAGTTTGCTTGGATACAGCTGGTGCTTACACTTGAAAATATGTACTCCATTCATAACCCAATAGACAAATTAAATATTCAGAATCTACTTTACAATGGACAAACAATCATCCAATACTTTGAAGACAAATTAGCCATCAAGTAAATCAAATGTATAGTCAGTCAAAAAGAAATATAATCCACTTAAAAATACTGGTAATGTGGTATGTAGAGTTGTCCATTACAATAACCATTAGCTACCATTTTCAAGATAAACAACATGTTCTGCTGTCATGTTTCAAAAAATGGCCTTGATCCTTCCATTCTTCTTTATACATATCATCATCATCATCAAACAAGCAGCTTAAAGGGGCAACACAGAAAAGATGGCAGACCGACTACCGCGAAGGCCGCAGAATCATAGATAACTGGCAGTGCATAGGCACTGTTTTCCCACTGCTGTGCTAAAGAAAGTAGTTTAAGGTAAAATCTTAACTCATTATGAGGGGTGGATTATAATGAATGCATATGAATAAAAATCACTTCTAATCAAATACTCAATAAATTTACAGAACACTTTTTTCATCTTATAGTCACTCAAAATTGTAAAACATCACAAATGTCAAAATCCCATTCAAAACACAAAAAGTTGCAACATTTACACGTAGCAGCTAAAGGACAAAACCAGGAGTGTCAACTGATAAATTTCATACTGATATTACAGATTTTGATAATGATGACAAATTATTTTATTGATTTAGGGACTCAAGAGTGCTGTACTACCTAATTAAATTCAGTCTTGAACATTGTATATTACTTTTATTTGTACTAAAAACTGTTAAATTTCTGTGCCAATGGAAAACACTCACCAGTTAGGTAATTGTTAAAAATGCCACTAAATATTACTGCAAACACTTTCACATATTACCCAGTCATTTTCTCTAACAAAGCAGTCATTAGTGAGGTATATGACTCTGCTCTTCCTTGATTAATCTTCCAACATCAGGTTTAATATCTATTGTTGCAATTTGCACGCAACCCTCAACGTGTCTGCCAGTAAGACATGTTATAGTTCTTGACACAATGTTCTTCATTAAGGTAAACAGTTGCTCTCAGTGACAGGTACTGCCAAAAACTGATGACATTAATGAAGCATGTTCAGGTGACTACTTTTCATCAGCATGACACAATCTTACAATAAATATGTGTGGGCTGCACAGAACATATTAGTGGACTACATGAGGCCCACAGATTGAGAATCTCTGAGTTAAAGGATTAAAGCAATGGCTTCCTAACAGGCCACAATTCAAATAACAAGACTATCGCAAACTGTAAGCCAACCATAGCTTATACAAAGAAAATTAATTCCAACACTGAAATAAAACCACATCCTGAAGATGATGACTGAACTGCAGTTTCTATACTGATGAAACATGTTCTTATAAGTAAAAATAATACTCTGACCAAGACTGAGAACCTCAGACATTTCTGAGATGTTTTACTTCATACATGTCTACAAGTGGCCCACTTTCATCAATCACTTATATGAAGATTTCTTTACAGGGACCTACTGCATTCAATACTGAAACAATTTTTCTATTTGATCATAAGAAAAAGAGGAAATGGCCAGATTAAAAAAAACTTAAGCCTTTGTTAATTACAACAAACAGCGCCAGACTAAATGAACATCACAACTGACAAAACTGGACACCTTTCTCTTACAGCGAGCAATGAAAATCAGGGTCAGGGGCAATACACACTCACAACCAAATTTAGGATTTTCAGCACTGACATTTGGCTCTGTGTACAAAAAGCCAAATGGCTTGTCCTTGTATCTTTTATTCTGATTACCTTGATTACACATATAAAGACGCTAGATATACAAATAATTCAATTTTACTTCTGACTATAAGAAATAAATAAGAATTTCAGAAGTAACCAATATACAGTTCTGGCATGAACATATTTTACTGACAATTGATTCTATCTGAATATTAAACTCTTGTTTTGTTAACTGCAAAACTAAACACAGATTATGTAGTTAACAAGTGGTCCAATTTTTCCAAATAATCAAGAACTAGCTATGCTTATTTCCACCTAAATTTGGTCTTGAATCTACTAACATTCTTCATAATTTTATTTAATTATGGAGTGACAAAGAACCAAAAAAACCTGCAATAACGTATGATAGTAAACATAATTTACTCCACTTAATGTTAATACAGTGGTCCCACAACACTTCTACTAAATGTGATAAATTAAACTAAAACTGGCAGCCAACAAAGAATTCTGCCTCTTATACACACTGTACTATAATAGTATGAATGGAACAATGACATATCTCACTTCCACAAGCTAATGTAAAATATTGCAGTGTTTAGTTCTTTGGCAATCACAGTCTTTTATCTGAAGCATTTCCTGATTCACCCTCAAAACAAACAAACTAGCAAAATCCATATACAAAATTAATTATGAAAAAAATAAGTACATACCTTGATTATGAATCCAATGGCAATTAGGATATTCCCTTCATAATGAGATAATTCCTATTTAAAGTTTGCTTGGATACAGCTGGTGCTTACACTTGAAAATATGTACTCCATTCATAACCCAATAGACAAATTAAATATTCAGAATCTACTTTACAATGGACAAACAATCATCCAATACTTTGAAGACAAATTAGCCATCAAGTAAATCAAATGTATAGTCAGTCAAAAAGAAATATAATCCACTTAAAAATACTGGTAATGTGGTATGTAGAGTTGTCCATTACAATAACCATTAGCTACCATTTTCAAGATAAACAACATGTTCTGCTGTCATGTTTCAAAAAATGGCCTTGATCCTTCCATTCTTCTTTATACATATCATCATCATCATCAAACAAGCAGCTTAAAGGGGCAACACAGAAAAGATGGCAGACCGACTACCGCGAAGGCCGCAGAATCATAGATAACTGGCAGTGCATAGGCACTGTTTTCCCACTGCTGTGCTAAAGAAAGTAGTTTAAGGTAAAATCTTAACTCATTATGAGGGGTGGATTATAATGAATGCATATGAATAAAAATCACTTCTAATCAAATACTCAATAAATTTACAGAACACTTTTTTCATCTTATAGTCACTCAAAATTGTAAAACATCACAAATGTCAAAATCCCATTCAAAACACAAAAAGTTGCAACATTTACACGTAGCAGCTAAAGGACAAAACCAGGAGTGTCAACTGATAAATTTCATACTGATATTACAGATTTTGATAATGATGACAAATTATTTTATTGATTTAGGGACTCAAGAGTGCTGTACTACCTAATTAAATTCAGTCTTGAACATTGTATATTACTTTTATTTGTACTAAAAACTGTTAAATTTCTGTGCCAATTACAATCGCAAGTTGCATTCCTAATTCAAAATTTTAAAATTCATTAGATAACAGTATCGAGTAGTAAAGAATGTGAATTGCTCTCATTTCTACTGCACAACTGTCACAGCTACTCACACATTTGTTTCTTCCAAATAAGCAACTCAAATATATCACCAAATGTTCTGTGATGGACTAGTTCCAGTTTTCAGCACTTTCACATTTGAGCAATTTTAATCTAAAGATGGTCAACTTCTGCCAGACTACATGGTGCAACAACCCAGAAGACAGCCATCTTCAGACTCAATGCTGTGAAAACCTCAAATCCTACAATTTTAATCTAACAAAAAGTTACTTTATATGATATGCAGAATCATACTGTGTAGGATTTGAGGTTTTCACAGTGGTGAGTCTGAAGATAGCAGTCTCCTGGGTCGTTGCGCCATGTAGTCTGGCAGAAGTTTACCAGTGTTTCAGAAGTCCTGGCTGCCTCCATCATCAGGGAAATGGATCACCATAAGTTAAAATGACGTGCATATTCAAAATTTATTTCTTGGAAAATCAATTCTTAACCAAAGCATAAAGCCTTCAGAAGCAAAATTTGCAATTTAACAAACTACTGTAATCACTGGAGAAGAGCAGACAACTGAGGACATGTCACTAGGTCACCATTTTCTTGTTTGCTCCAGTAATGAATAATGACCATAATACTGGAATAATTGCATTGATTACTTCTGTGCTCATAGAAGACAATTCATTGATACAATACAAGATAAGCAGGAAATGCTTCAGATAATGCGATAATGAAAACAGTCTCTTACCATCAAGGCCATCCAAGGTATCTTGTGAGGCAGAGCCCTGGTCTTGGTCACTGGTGTCCATAGAACCTTGTCCGTGGAAAGAGTTTATGTCACTAGGGTTCAGAATGCCAACTCCAGCCTGGAAATTAAACATTCTAGTAAAATTTCACAAAAATTACTTTGAAGCACCTAAACTGGAATTCTTAATTATCTCAATTAACTTCTTTACAATTCATAACTAATGCTCTGATGTGGCGAATCAGACACTGCTGAGTCCAAAAACTGTAGCTGAATAATTAGTCCCATTTTCTTTGAGGATACAATTAACTCTGAGTGTTATTGCAAACTGCTTCTGTACCTCTTCATTGGCTATTTAAATGAGTACATTGCCTGTGGCTACTTCCAGCAGGATGGTGCCACAGCATACCTGGCTCATATTTCCATGGGTGTGTGAGGCTGACTGTAAGGCAGTGAAAACCCAGAAAACCACAATTCACATATTTATCACTGTGAAAACCTTAAATCTCGCTGTGAGGGTAGGTGCCTCCCTACAGTCCTACTTACTGTACAGGATAATGATACCTTCATGTACCACAGACAACACTGTGGGGAATGCTTTCAAAACACTTATCCTTAACGATGTACTGACTATAAACATCCCTCAACACGATCAAGACAAAGACCTCATATGACATCATTTTCAGTGACAAGTGCTCTGCTATGTCAGTGGCAAAACATAAAGTGTAAAATCTTGGGGCTCTGAGGAGTTGCTCATGACCAAGAACCATGTTTAGGAAAGTCTTACAGTCAACTCATTTTGCACATCAAACAGAAGCAAACTTCAATGTCTAATGTTGTCTGTTACAAGAATTCTGAATCCCAACATGATGGACAAACTTTCCATCTTCCCAAATTCAATGTTGTGATTTGTAAGCTAAAACGACTCCTCATTTGCAGTAAAATATATGAGAATATTTGAGTAAACACTTCGTTGGTCAGTGGACTGGCAGAGGCCTAGACTGAAACACCAATTACAACAAACTCACCAGGGTTAAAAATGTAAGATAAAATATGCTGAGTCCAGTGCCATACCTGACATGCTGAAGCAAACATGAGTAGAAATACTATGGAGACGTGTGTTTAATAAAGATGCAACAGGGTAACTCCAGCACGGAAATTTCAAGTGTTCATGTATAAGACACAGAGTTGAGTCTTGTAGTGAAGAGTGAACCACACGTTAAGCAGTTTTCTGTTAAAATACTTTTGAATTACCCTGAATATTAACCATGAAAATTCAGTATATTTTAAAACAAAAAATAAATTAATCAATAATTAATACACGCTTAATAACTTGTAACAGAATGAAGAGGACTGGCAGGTCTGTCCATGCTAATATTACATGGCAATGATCTCACTGCAGAAGATCAGGGGGTAATGACATCACCACAGAGGATCATCAAGTTACCTCAAAAGTTTTAACATCCATCAACTGATACTACCAATTGTACAAAATTAAAAATTACAAGCTTGAAGTAGCCTCCAATGCCATAACATTACCAGATTTCATAAAAATCCATTCAGCTGTTCTCAAGTTATTATTTGGCAGAATGAAAAGTTCATATAAGAACTGAAAAATGCAACAGACAAGGAGTTCTTTTCTTATGCAAAGTGCAAAGAATACCTAGAGTAAAAAAAAGTAAAGCTGTCTAAGTATACGCCATGTAGGCGCTTGAGGCGGTATAGATCCTACTCATTCTTGACTTCAGCATTAGATGTGGGTGAGTGGCCAGAGTCACGCCCCAGCCACGCTTTTACCCCGGGAGAGGACACTGGTACCCATTATATAGGAAGCTGGGTGGGCCCCAGAACTGGTCTGGATTTAGAGACTAGAGAAAAAAATCATCTGCCCCTGTCGCGGATAGAACGGCGGCCATCCAGTCCGTAACCTGTCACTATGCTGACTGAGGTACGCAAGCTCATAAAGAATACCTATTAATACTGATAACTCTATTAATAATACTTTTACAATTGATTAAAAGAATATTTCACACAATGACTTTAGATCTACAACAAACTGATGATAGATTTTACATGATTAACTGAAATGGCAGATAAGTTCAATGTAAATATACATTTTGTAATAAAACAAGTTAACATCCAGTTATACTGAAAATAACCTTAATAAAAGTGCATATATTTGTTAAACTTTATCAATATACAATGATGGATTCTTCCTGGTTCTCATATGTCACATCCTGGGACTGTTACAATAATTTTAAAATTCTTTCATTTGTTATATTTTCAGTGTACTATTAAAATGTTGAGACAGAGCATACAGACAGATAGAGAAGCAGACATGCATGACAGCTCTACAACAAGACTAAGCATTAAAAATGTTCCCTTCTAAATCACATTTCCAATTCTTACACCACCAACATTTATACTCAGTTTACTATCCTAACACAGCTTGTACAATGGCCACCGTATTTCTGAGTGTTATCAGATTTGTATCACATACAATATACCTTGACAAACATTAGTTTTAAAGAGGATATACAGAATCATATCAGAGCCAAGAGAGGGAGAGGTACAAGGTAAGTCATCCAGGACACAGCTAGCAACGGGACACACAAGTTAAATTACATTCAGTACACATAAGCCAATCCCTACTTCATGACATTAATGTAAGAAACATTACTAGTGTTATATTTTAATTTCTTATTTTCAAAGAAGGAACACTTCTGAAACTTTGCTCTGAGCATAAAAATAATGTTGACCCTTCTCTGATCCGTCCCCACCATCTAATATAACAGTAAAATGTAATAACAACAGAGACAAAAAACATCTTTTGCACATATTACTTACAGGATGTGACATAAGATGTTTTACAGCACTTATTTATAGAATTTAATCTACATTGTACAGTAAACTTTGGGGGGGGGGGGGGGGGGCGTTTTATGCTGATTTTTTTTGTAACTATACAACAAATGTTAGTCTACTATTACAGATGATTATCATCCAACACAGACAATCAATCAATTATAATAAATCCACGTGTCTTAGGAAACCAGGTTATGTCACCAGCCATTCTCTAGAATGATATTAATATTTAATGCAGTTAGCCTAACAAAAACCAGGAACTTTCAAAGGGACTGAAATCAGAAGTACCTGCAAGCATACATGCAAAGCCATAGAGAATGGGGTTTGTAAAATGTTGCATACATTGTGTCCACAGCATCTTTTGATCTACTGCTTTCTTTAAAAAACAGAAAGGTGCAGGCACACCTTTGTATGTGAATCATTAGAAATACTTGCTAGGTAAGCAACAGTACAATTTATACCTTCTACAGTAAGAGATAAGGAAACATCTCAACCAAAATGTAAGTTCTGATAACTCTGGATCCATGAAAGCTATAAACAGCCATGCCAAGCAACAATATTAATATAGATGTAACAACATTTAAGAATGACAGAAGTAATTCTGATTCATTACATAATATAGGTACTAATTATGAACTATAGACAAAAAATAATTCTACCTTCAAAGATTGTCAATTAGGATACTTCAGTTGTACAATAATAGTATTTCAGAAGATTAGCTGTTGCATTATTCAACCAGCACTGCCGAAAACAGAGTCTTTCAGCTTCGACAAAATAATGTGCATATACAGTATTAACGCTCTAAGACAACTCATTTCATACATAAACTTCAACATGCTCAATAGGCACAAGTAACTATCACAGCCAATGTGCCCAAAAATTAACTAATCATAGTGATCTCCAGACTTAAGCAAAAACATTAAGCCCATTTCTGGCCACATACTCAAATAGATACCAGTTACACACGAACCCATAAACTACTCTCCGTTTACATTTACATTATGTAACAACAAATTTCTTTCAGAATCTGTACACATAATTAATATCCTCAATTCTTGGTTTCTGGATTAATTGTGTTTGTTACTACTTGCATACCAGGCGGATGTCAGACAAGGTTTCTTAAATTCTTTATTATCATACATTGTATTTCAATACATACCAACAACAAAATCTCTTATAGACAACTGCTTACCAAAATAAGGCAAATTTAACGAGTTTAATGACAAATATAGAGGTCTGTAGTGTTGAAAAAAAGATGTCTCTTATAGACAAATTAAAGGAACACAGGGAAAGAAATGTAAACCTAAGTTAAAGTTTTATCTCATCATTAACTTGGAGGAATTTAGAAAACCCCACTGAATATACCTAAGCCTTAATAAATGTTAAAACAAGGCATCTTTCACATACAAAACAGGACACACACTCTGTACAAAATGATATGTTTTTGATACTCAATATTATCAGGTTACCTGGCCCTCAAGATGGACACCAAACATAAAACAAAATCTACAACTGTAAAAGAAATTAGAACCAATCAGCATAATGCTCCCAACTACAACTGTAATTATATCTAAATTATAATGTATGATGACAGACTTCTTATGCATTACTTGGGGAGTACCTCAGAAGGAAAGATTCCCATTTCTTTGTTCTAAAAATTGCCAAATGTAGTCCTCCTTACAATTTACAGCTCATTTGTTTACAAGTCTTGAATGTATAGAAGTAACAAAAAATTCCATTGCTTATTATGGTGCTTTATACAATTTTGAAAATATTTTTTAATATTTACTAATAAGTTCTGCTACAAACTAAAACAGTATAAAAATGTTGCACAATTTCTACAGACACGCATGAACACATACATAAAACATACACGTAAAAATTATATCAAGCCACTAGTTACCAAGTAAGAACTATTTAATTATGCACTATTAAAACAAAAATTTGGGATTAACCTAACATGCATTAAAATGTGCATGATTTGTGGGAATAAACAAAAGGGCTAAAGAAATAACCCATGGGTGCACCAAGTACGTAGTGTACCCTCTCATGTATGACACATGGGGCGTCACACATTGCTCCTCTAAATGTAGCAGAACATGGCACAATTAAAAGAAGGGAAAGTAAATCAGCTGACAGCATCACACATTAGTGTTTTAAATGGAGTGGGCATGGCATTTAAGGGTTAATTTCAAGTACACAACAACGTGCATTCAGGTTACGTCACCGAATTTCACCACCGAACTATCCAACTTTGTGGAACAGGGTCCTTACTGCATGCTCAGCTACTCAATAAATTCCCTGAATTTTATGGAACTCAAAGGTTCATTACTGTGTTGCCAATGGTCCTAATGAGCCAGATGAACGCAATCCATACCACCAAAACCCAATACCCCAAAGATTCACTGTAACATTATCCTCCCCAGCTATTCTGTCTCTTCGGAGTGGTCTCTTCCCTTCAGGTTACCCAAACGAAATATTATTGTGCACATCTTTCAAGTTCCCCATGTCCGCTGCATATGCCACCCACTTCTTCCTTTTCATTTGATCACACTAATTAGATCTATTGAAGAGCAAAAATCATGGAGCTCCTCATTATGCAGTTCACCCCTCAGACAGTCTACCATAATTTCTTCCCTCTAAGGTCCAAACACATCCCTCAGCATCCTGCTCTCAAACTACCTAAATCTGTGTTATTCCCTAAATGTGAGAGACCACAATTCTCACCATGTCATGCCACAAACATTTCCAGAAATATTTCTAAAACAGCAGAAAATTTAAGCCCCTCAAAATAAAATTGTAAAGAATACCATTTTCAAAACAGTTTGAAATGGCTGCATGGTATGCAGGGCAAAGCGTGTTAAGTCTTTCAACTCTCATTTCTGACTTCCAAGTGTTTCTCTACCTGTACACTAGCTGTTTAACAAATTCTTTCCACCTGCAAAATTTTTGGTGTATTAAACAACCAAGGTCCAGCCACTAAAGGTAACAGCACATACACCCACAACGATTGCCTGCTCAGTCCACTACTTAATCCCATCTGCAATTCAAGAATTCTGTCACACACATCACTTCCTGGATTTATTAATTTATACTGAAAGCACTCAAGCCTTTCCTCATTTCCTCAAAATTAATATCTCATATAACTATTACAAAAGAATTTAAAAGAATACATTTCTCAGTGGTGAAAACATTAGAGATAAAGACTGGGCCTTTCAGACAGAATGGCCATTCTGCATAACTTGGGGGGGGGATAAGAATGCAGCAGCATATAATACTGGCAATGTCTGGCTGTTATGTATTTTTTTATTCTGCACTGTCTGGGAGTAGTTTAAATATCTGCTGTCCAAGTTTCTGGATACTCCCGTCCCAAATGTTCAACACATAAATGCCAATTTTGTCTCTCCAAAAGAAAAATGTTTCTGTATTTGCCTTTTTTCTACATAACGCACCATTTTGGAGAAACAGGGTGGGATGGACAAATCTTCTTTGGCTCTCTTATAAAGATTTGCCTGACTCAAAATTTAGTGGTGATGATTTATCCCTGCAAAAATGCCTTAATATCAAATTCCATGCATTTTTATGACCAGGATAACATAGTAATGATCTTTTCACCATTAACATGTACCAGCCAGTTTCTGTGTACAAGTACAGAGCAAACCATGACAAGTACAGTATTTTCTTTTGTGCACCATTAGCATTCTGCGAGTGTTTGTAATCTTTGAGTATTTGAAAAATAATATTTATCATGGAATGCAAATTAGCTTATGAAGATTTTCTTTAAAACTGTAATCATGTCCTTAGAGACCAATGCAATAAAATCAAGTCCAAATGCTCTAATCTGAAATCTAAACACTGCCATTTATTACACACTCCAAAAACCAATGAATCAATACATCCTAGGTCAAAACATCTGCAGATTTTGTATTACTGGCTTTCAGGTGAAAGCTGAACTTATGCATTGAATGTCATTTGTGGAAACCTACTGATAAGAATTTGCATATTTTGTACACAATCCTACTGGTCATTGGATATGTACATACATTGACACTTATATACAACTGTTTCAATTCTCATCTTCATGAAGACAATAAAATATATCTGATTCAGCTCTACAGTTAAAAACCTTCTGTTAACTTCAAGTACCTTCAAGAACAAAATAACATACTAAATAATGGTGTATTTGTAATAGCATTCACCAGCTGGAACGTTAAAAAATCTAAAATATATTATTTATGACTTATGACTTAAAAACTACACTGAGAATGTTGTCCATCTTTGTTTTCAGTGTCTATATAATCCACACTTCAGTTAACCTCTCCACCAAGATTGTTAACAACTGTTTTATACATACAGTAAGCATATTTTTATCTCTTGGGGATACGTCTAGTTTATATAAGTCATGTTAGAAACTAATTACACGCAGACTCTCTACAGATACTTCATCTGATGAGGCAATGCTCAGGTAAATTGCTTTGAAGTTACTGCTCAAACATGCACAAGGCATAAGGATGGCTGTGTTCTGTGTTGTCACACCATGTATTCTGGAAGAAATTTGATAATGCTTCAAAGATGCTTCCTGCTCACTGCCCTGGCAATGAAGGCAGCAAGTTCCTCTAAAACATCGGTACACTTATACCAGACCACACAGCACAACGACCCAGAAGATGGCAAGCCATCATCATACTCATTGCTGAGACCATCAAATATCATTGTGTACAAGCCAAATCACCATTTATTATAAGTAGCTTAACTAATATGCCTAAACTTCACCCCTTTCTTCTGTATAATTTCATTTTGAGTCATATTTGTATTTTTACAGCAAGCATCAACTTCCACTGTAAATAGAGACAACAAATATGAAAATTATATTAACACCTTGAGTCCTATTGATGTTATCAACATTGCTTTTCTGGGTCATTACATCACGCGGACTTGTAGGTGGACACCAATTTTTTGGAGAAACATGCTGTCTCTATCTTCAAGCAATATGTTTCTCCAAAACGTTGGTATGGTATCCACAGACAGGTTCACATAATGTCACAACCTAGAACAATACTAACATCTAGACCACCATCTCACATAAGCATACACATTATGGTCTCAAAGTCCATGCAATGCAATAACACATAGATCACAATTTTTAAAATTGAAGAAATAATCATTTTTGATCTTTAAACGTGAAATTTTGATCCTATCATGTAGGTTACTCTTTTACTCCATTTTGTATCCAATAAATGTTGCATAACTTCACATAATGTTTACTGTGCCTTCTTCTAAACAGATCCAAAGTGAATATAATACACACTACATTCACGAGCCTAGTTCTCTGCTTTATGACATATGCTTAGATCATATAATTTAAAGCCATAACAATGACTATAGAGATGACTGTCTGGTTTGATAATTAAGTAATATCACACTTAACAATTTGTGTTCCTGTTTTACCATGGATAAACAGAGACCCAACTAAGATCCTCAATCCCACACGCATGAAATGTAAGCAATCCAGAATTCTTGAAAGAACTAATATTAGTACGATTTTGAGTGATTCAGGCTCTGAGCAGAAGAACATTTTGGTTCCAGAAAGTGAGAGAGAATTATATAGATGCAGATGTATAGTGATGTTCTGAGTAATAAAGAATTGTGTGAGAGGGCAGTTCATGATTGATCAGTAGGATCATGAACAGAAGCAAAACAAGTGATACAGAATGAAGGTCCATATTTTTGAAGCTCTATGCATAAAATTCAATGTAGTCCAAATTTGCTGCAAATATCATACACATTGTAAACACATTTCAAGTATTTCTTTTCTAGACAGAATTTAATTTTTGCATAACTTTGTCATTTTGGGTTTCTCTGGCTCATTTAATAATAAATGCAATGGCAACTTCGATACTAAAAAGAGGTGTATATAAAATGTAGTCATGTTATAATATGAGAAATTACTTATTTCAGAAATTTAGGGTTATAATTTTATCAAGTTCTTCTGATATTCTGAGTACCAGTGACAATGTCTTGAGGGTTTTCACATAAAACCCAATGATTTTTGTTTGAAACATAAGTACCCTATAATCTCGTACAGGAAATTTATATATTTAGTTTTGGAATTAAATTTGGGGAATATTATGCACTTTAGAAACTGCTAACTGAAGCACTGCACATATCTCCACAGCTCTGATGTAAGAAAATGAGCAACCTAGGAAAGAAAAGTATACTATAATTTCATTAATATTTTATAATTACTGCACATGTACTCGTAACTATGTGCCTATGTCAAACCAGGACTTTTGCTGTATCTGTATGTCACTTTAGCACTTAGTCATTGATGCAAGAAATTATTTTATATTCTCTTAGCTATATTAGTTTTGTTCAGTATTCTCTTATTAATAACTATGAAGAACACAAAATAAAACTTCTGTATTTTACTCTCCTATCACACACATATGAACAAACACAATATTTGTAGTGACTTTTTGTTGCATGTTTAAAATGTCCAGGAACCAGGGTATTTTGTGCACAAAATGGCCAGGGCTCAAAGTGTTAACATTTTAATTTTTCTGTTGATCTCAACAGGCTTTTCCCCCTTTTTAAACATATTATATACAATATTATCTTGAAAATTGTATTACTACAATATGTACACTTGACAACACAGTTCTGTCAGGTTCTGGCCAGGTACTGTTATTAAATGCTAAAATATGAAAGATTTCATATCAGCCTGACTCAAACCTATCTCGTATGTACTGGATTTACAGGAGACATTTTTAATTACATGTAAAAATGCTGTTATTAAAGAACAATGCACAGAACATAACAGATGTAAGCAGTTCAAATCTGACACAGAATTTTCAATGTTTTTTTATTTATTCATTGGATATGAACCTAACCTAAAATAATTATGTTTTGCAGGGACAGGACAAGAGTATTCATGAAGGAGTACCCAAAGAGGCCTGTGCCTAATATGAAAAGGTAATTATTCACTGACATGCAGTGATAAAAATTCTGGTCAAATCTGAAAAGCCCTCATAGTAAGAAATCTTCCTCTAACGGAACAAGCGGTTACTAAAATTTGATAGAACTCGTGAGCTGAAAGAAATGTTTCTGCACATTACACGAAGAAATGATGCATCATTTTTTAAACTATGGAAAGCCTTTATACACTTACATTTAGGCCTGTGCTAACTTTTACAAAAACTACAATCAAACTTCATCCTCACCAACCAACCTCTCTGTTCCTATCATTAGTAAACCCGTATTCTTGTTCCTGCAGTATCACTTGAGTATTTAAGCTCATGGGGTTTGTATTACAGCAAACAGAGAAAAACTGCAAATACATTCTGAAAGCACGGCACAACTAAATGCTATACACATTAATTGAAGTAGGACATTAAATACGAGGGAAAAATTAATTCCATTTAAAAAATACACCTGATAATTTCCCTCTCCTACATTTACACCACATAAAAATATAGAATTTATATTGTACAATGTCAATCTTTCAATTCACAAAAATTACATCTTTGTAATGCTTGTATATCACAAACTCCATACTGCAAACCATTATTACAATCACAAAGTAGACTCTAACTCAATACTTTTAATTTTAAAAATAAATACTATAAAATTTAATACTGAGTGCCTCCTAACAATATTTTCCCAATAAATTCTTGTGGTAGTCTTCCAAAAATTTTATATTCTTGTATCACAATAGGATGACCAAATAATATGAACCACATTTAAGAAATGTGCTTGCTTTACCTAAAGTTTCTATACCAAATACAATAAAATTCAGGTACTGTCTCTGCAAACAATCAGGGCCACACAAAATCACAGCCTGCACTTGTCAATTACATTAAATGTTTGAACAACACAATGGTGAATTCAACAAAACAATAGCAAACAACTCTATTTTTGTTTTCAACAATATTACACAAATGCTCTTGTTACTTATACAAAATTTGAATTATTGTCATTACAGATGTCGGATATTCAAAGAAGTCCATTTGAAAGCTAACACACCAACTAATATTGTGCATATGTAACTGGTATATTTCAAAAGTGAAAAATGCTTGTAAATTATGTTTTCAGTAAATAAAATAGTCTGTCGAACACAGAACATTGAAATCAGTAAGCCAACAAACAACAAATTACAGAAAAATAAGACACACTCATTTCCCTTGCACTTTTTGCCTAGCCAATTTTCCCCCACCTCTAAGTAATACTATTAATTTTGTACATATACTTCACTATTTAAAATTCTGTGTCAACAAGTAAGTTATTAAGCCAACCTTATAAATATCTGTGGTCATTAACGTATGTAATGACCACATCTTTAGTAACAATGGTTTGAAAAATTCATTTTGGCACAACAACAATTAATGCAACATTGTTTCAGTAACAATGGTTTGCAGCATTCATTCCATCACAACCTGAATCAATCACATCTAGTTAACTTCTTAATCTGTACTTTAGCACCCAACTCATAAATAACCACAGCAGAATTTTATCACATACCGTTACTCTTCAACAATACATCTTAACCATAAGAAATTACTGCTAATCTGTATTCTCACAATTTAAAAAGCAACTATACTTTGCTTTACTTTAAGATGTAGGTTCTGTTTTAGTTACTGTTTCAACTTCCTTTTGCATACACAATCGGTGTGCTTTGCACTTGTCATGATGGTTAACTATTTCAAGACGAAAGTTACTGTTTCCATCTGCAAATGATGTCCGGATGTCAGGTACAGTGCTGCTCCACTTGCGACAATATTTGCAAAACATTATATTCATTCTCTCATCATACTGCAACCAAATATATGTATCCAGCCAACCAGGACGGAAGCGGCCACCTTTCCTTGGTCCCGGCAAATTTGCGGGACTGCTTCGAGATCTGGCGGGTGGTGGCTGAATGACGGAGATTTCTTGTCTCAGTGAAGTTCTAGCCACAGTTTTGGCTCTTGTGCTCATTATACCACTTTGTGGTAAAAATGAGCCATTGTTTTCAGATGAAGATGAACCTGGACTTGGGTTTACAAATGATTTCAAGCTATGCTTCACAGGTCTCCACGGTACAGCCATGGGTGCTTGCAAATGAGAGGAAAATGTGCCAGTCAGTGGAGTTGGCAACTTGGGAAGTTCTACTTTTTGACCAACTAGATACTTCCTCAAAACACCTGGTGTTTGGCAGCTTGTGTGTATGTTTCCTATCTGACTTGTTCCTGGGTCCATGCCCAAACTGTGACGCATTCCCATGCCAAAACCCTGTCGCGACTCCATGCCTGAACTTTGACGAGAGTCCATCATCAAACTGTGACGAGATTCCATGCCCATAGTGTGACGTGATTCCAACATGGCTGAGCAGCCAATGGTTTCAT